TCTGTGGAGGATGTCCGTTTACAATTGCTCTTTGAAACAACCGGCTAAAGTTGGAGAAGACTTCAAAATCAAAACATTCCGGCTTTACGCCCCGCCACCCGGAAGTTGACGTGTACTGGACCGGATTGCATGATGGGTTATGTCGTTTTTGACTGAAAAATACTAAAACAATAGATAAATAAATAATAAAATAAATAAAATAAAAGTCCTGTCAGCTTTAAAGAATTGAAATAATATGGGTAATGAATAATTGGATTCCCCACATTACTCATATCAGAGGCAAAATATCGAAGTCTCTATAAGGTCAAGGATCTCATAAATCAAACATCATTATATACTCTCTATTGTTCTATTATACATGACATACTGTGTGGAAGTGTGGGGAAACACGTATAAGACACACACTTATCCAATATACATTCTGCAAAAAAGAGCAATAAGGATAATAAATAAAGCTACTTCAAGGGAACCATCAAATCCACTTTTTATCAAATTAAATATTCTCAAATTTAAAGTGCAAACAATGTATAAAGCAGCAAATAAATCTTTTCCCCACAACATTCAGAACTTGTTCCAAATAAGACCAAATACTCATGACCTGAGAGGAATCCTTGTGTTCAGCAGGCCAGTAGTAAGGACAAATGTAAAATATCAGAGCATTACAGTCAGAGGAGTTAGTGTGTGGAACACCTGTACAGATGAAATCAAGACAAGTACATCAATACAAAAATTCACACGATTGTTCAAAAATAATAAATTGCATGAATATAAGAAATCTTCCTCTCAGTGACTGAGTTGTCTCATTGTGTCCTCATTTTTTTGTTTTATATAGATCAAGGCCTGAGTAACCCAACCTTAAGTGTTCATTAAGGTGTTTGTCACATAGATATAAAACAAGCTCAGAGATTAAGCGGGTGTTATAGACAGGGTGATTCGTTTATGTAAAAATGTAGTTTGTTGTTGTTCTGGTTTACGTGCTGAAAATGGTTTTTATTTGTGTATGTTCAATGTGTTAGACTTGTACATAGTTAACCATATATGATCAAATAATGTTGAATCCTGGATATGGATTTGTAAGCAATGAAATTTGAAATAAGGGGGTAGGAACAAGAAAAGTGTAAACTTCATCTACTCCTTTTCGAGCATACGCATTCTGTAGACAAAGATATATTCATGAAAACTTGATGATTTTTAAGTTTTGTTTTTTGTTTTTTTCTGTTGTTATTTCAATTATATTTGCATGTTCGAAATAAATTATATCTATATCTATTATATCTATAGATTAGACACGAGTGTATTAAAATTTATGAAAGTCAAACTGATTTTACTTCATGGACCACGCAAATCCCACTTTAATCTTCTATCAGCATAAAGAGGTTTAATTGCATATTTAAGCCCTGAGATACATTAAAATAATAAGAAGTATAATTTCTACAGAGCATCTCAATGTTTCTACATGATAAAGAAACTGTACGGAAATAAACGTGTCAAATTTTAGAAAAACTTCTGGAAGGTGTAGCTCAGTGACTCGCCTCTAAAATTGAATGGGGGGGGGGGGGGGGGGGTTTAAGTCACTGTGAAAAAGTGAAAAAACAGGAACTTTCCTCTTTCGTGTATTTTTTTAAATCTATTTCCTGATTACTTTGGTGTAACATTAGTAAAAATAAATAAATAAATAAATAAAGCTGTAAAACTTAAACAGTTAAAAGTCCAAAAATGTAATTTTTCCTCCTTCATGTTTTCCAATGCAGCAGGGCCTGAATGGAGCTTTTGCCGGGCCAATTATGGCACCCAGGGCTTATGTTTGACACCCTTGCTTTAAAGATTTCTAAACTGTGTCCAAACCACCATTTATGGAATAGATGTTATGAGAGAAAACACCAAAAAACGAATATAAAGACATGTTTTTACTGTAGTAAGAAACTGACGATATTTCAGAGGTTTTATTGGAGGGGTGCTTTGACCCTTTAAGATACTATACCACAAACAAAATTAATAAATTACACCTGAAATAATAAATAATAATAACAATAATAAGTTAAATATAATATTTCTAATTCAACAAAGCAAAACAATCAAATGTTAAAATTTTTAAAAGCTTTCCTGATCTGTTATACAGTAATGCATATACTATTATATATTGTACATATATTTATTAGTCTTAGATTTAGCCATTCTTAAATTTTGCTTGTTTTATGTTATTGTATTTTTGCACAACTCTGTTGCTTGTGAAGCTCGCACACAAGAATTTCACTCACATGTACTGCACCAGTGTACCTGCACATGTGATGTGACAATAAAAGTGATTTGATTTATTCAGCTGTTGACACACAGTCTTGTGTCATCCTCAGTCTCCTACACTCATTTAAATCCTAAAATTACTTCTGCTCATTGCCAGGTTAACTACGGGGCCACAGGAAAGGAAAAAAGATGTCGCTGGGCCAACTGGGAACCAACCAGGATGCAGAAATGTATCTGGCAAGAGTTTGGTAATTTAAAAAAAGTTTTGTTCACTGAACAAACTGTAATTAAAGACAATTGTAAGTTGTAACCTTAGTGGAATAAGCTGAGGGTTATACCACAAGACACAGGACAAAGGACCAGGGAGAGTTGACACAATGGTGCAAGAGGTGAGCCTGAATACTGCTTTGTTTCGGCATCCTGAATGCATCATGCCACAAAGCATAAGCTCAACAGCAACGCACTGATTGCTGATCAATACTGTATCCCCACTGTGCTTCATTGTACCTTTAAGAATATTGAAAATCATTAAGCATCTGATCCATAAATCTGAATATTAATTTATTTGTCATATATTCATACAGTCACCCATCAGCTGTGCTTTACTGTGTATCTTATTCTTTGCAGGATTTAGATAAAGCTTCCTCTTTAAGAAGCTTTACAAAAGTCCCTCCTCGTGTCCCACTCAGTGGCCTCTGTTGCCCGTGGGTAGAGCTGTATTTGGGAAGAGAGCCATTCAGATAAATCCATTTTCCAGCTCACTGCCTTTTTACGGAGTCTGGATCATGGATGAAAAAGTGTTACTGCTGTTGGAAAACAGCTGTACAGGCTGATTTTACACTGACTTTCATCTGGAGAGAGACTGCGGGAAGCATCGGGTTTTGGTGTCTGCTGCAGAGTGTCAGGGAAGTGGCTGCAAAAGGGTTTGTGATTTTCCTCCTGATCAGTGCTGGTTGTCATTTTTAAATAATGTCATAACTAAGTACATTTTGGAAATATCTGGGTAGTGATTGGCTGAACTGACAAACTGATTATTGTCTCATTATCTTCTTTCAGAGTTACACTAGTTTTCCTTTTTTTTAAAAGCATTTTGCTGTTCACTGACTTCATCAAAATAATGCCTTCTTTGATTAATTGTGCTGACAGACCCTTAAACCTAATTTCACTGAAGTCACTGTTTATTTTCATAATAGTTTCCAATTTTAGATATCGTTTAATGCTACTTAAGTGTTAAGTGACATTTTAGGTGAACACTCTCCTTAGCCAAAAAAGAGCAGCGGCGTCAGATCTGTATGTGTAAGTGCAACGTGTGTGTGGATTGGGGGGGGGTATTTCCAGTAACCAGTGCTTTGATGAGCAGGAGGGTTGTGATGAAGGCCATAGCTCTAAGGAAGCAATTGTTTTTCAGTCTGTGCGTGTGGGCATTGATTGTTCTGAGCCGTCTGCCAGATTGCTGTGATTCAATCAAGGGGTGGCCAATGTAACACAGTTGGAAAGAGCACGCTCTTCATGGTTTTTATTGCAAAAAATAAGTAAATAAATGTACCAGCAATATCTGTGTGAACCGAGCCAGCTTCAGCTTTCTAACCAGGTTCTGATTGTGAGACGTCATCCCTGCTGTTGTAGTGATGTCAACCAGCTTACGGATAAAACGGTTCAGAAAGCAGGAATGTAGGAGTCGTGGTTTCAGGATCAGAGTGGAAGTTTCAGCTCTGAGGAAATCATGATCCCTGTAATCAAGGACAAAACACCTAAGGAGTCCTGAGGTCCCTTCTCAGGCGCAGGATGAGGTGGGGGAAGATCTCATCTCTTTACTGGGGTTTCACCCTTAATCCCGGTGATGATAAAGATCCACGCCTTTTTTCACACCTTGGCTCATGTGATGACTCACATGATTAATAGGGTTAGTGACCCTCGGAACTATGGGAACAATCCCTACTAGGAGTTAAATACCTGGGACTCTCCACCATTTGGTTTTAGAACTGAAGAAACCTCTTGGATGAAGTCCATTTGACTTCCTTTTTTCAACCACTCAAAGAAGCCCTGACCTGGACAGCCACAACCTGCGCGGACACACTGGGAACATGTATGTAGCTTTCTGTCTCTTTAAGAATGTTAAATAGAAAATATAGTCCCAGGGCGCTACATTTATGTAGATTGTGTATGTAAGGAGAAAATAATTTTTTAACATCTTTCTGAGAGAGGAGCTGGTTAAGACTGAGTCAGCTGACTAAATGGTTCTTATCTACTCAGCTTGCGCACTTTATACAACCCCTTTCACTCATTTATACAACACAAGTTCTTTCTGTCTAACCTTCACACACATTCATATTTCAGTGAACACATCAGAGAGCAACTAGTACATCCCTCAGTATTAGCCCTGTGATGGAAGGGAAGGGGTGTGTGTGTGTGTGTGTGTGTGTGTGTGTGTGTGTGTGTGTGTGTGTGTACCTGTAAGAGGTGGATTCGCCTGTGAATCTGCTATTTTTGTTAGCAAACACGGTGTTAACGGGGCCTCACTCGCTGTGATGAAGTGATTCACAAAAATCACTGCGCTGATCCTCAGCAGCCACCCTCCACCACCTCCACCACCACAGCACGGCAGCAGCAGCTTCGACACGTTTGGCCGGCTGCTTCAGCACCTCGGAGAGCGATAGGCTGAACGACTTCAGCGGCGGCGGCAGCATCCAGGCAGCAGCCAATGAGAGAGCGCCGTTTCTCTCGCACATCCAACCCGAATAAGTGCTGATGCCCGCATCTCTCTCTCTCTCCCTGTCTCGCTCGCTCTTTGCTTTGCTGCTTTACTGAGGGAATAAGCTGCCGTCTATTTTTGGACTTTATCGTGGCCATGTTTTTCTGTCCCCCTCTCTCTCTGTCGCCGCTTTTTTGTGTTAATGTAGGTTTTTAGACCAGCGGGCCGGCGTGCTGTTTGATTCATGTCTGGGCGAGTTGTGAGCATCAAACAGCCTCCACCGTGTAGTTTTTTGGGCTTCTCAATGGAAGACATCTCTCCACTCGCTGCGAGCGAAGGAGTGCGGCACATATTCGCTTTGCGTGTGTATTCCCGCAGAGGAGCGAGAGACTCTTTCTGAATGAGGCTCTGAAGGGAAGGGGCGCGGGCAGCAGACCTGTCGGTGTTCGAGCGAGACCCGTTTGGCTGGACGAGCTCGTGCCGGCGGTTGTGGATTCCGTGGGCGGAAAGCCTTTTCACATTTTGATCTTACCCAGCAGCGAGGGTACGGGGGAGGTCAAGGTGGGATACATGGATTTCACAAGAAGAGAAGATTAATTAGAAGGTAGGAAACATGTTTTTCCCTGTAACACCAGCCTTGTGAGGTGATGAAATATTAAAGACGCTCAAATAATTCTCAGATAAACGCAGGATCAGTCAGTACACAGCCACCTGCTCAAAAAGAGAGAAAAAAGCATTTTCTCCTAATGTTCTGGGCTGCCTCTCGGTGTGTGCTTCTGATGCTGCCTGGTGTTGGTGGTGTTCGGGGGGGGGGGGGGGGGTGTTCAAGGCTTCCATTTTGAAGCTAAGATGGATGCTTGCGCACATTTCTTTTCCCTGCCTCCGTGGCCTTATCTCGGTTCTTATATAATGCTGGTGAACACTGGTAGGCCCATGCTGGGGCTACCAGTGCCGTCTATATGCAGCTTTATGTGGGGAGGTGCGCCATTTATACATGACTGCTGTGATGGAATGCCAGCTATTTGTGTGGCTGCACGATTTATTATGAAGTTTCTGCACAGACACCTAATGCAGTTGGCTGACTCTTTCTCTCGTTGGTATATTGCTGTAACCATAAGCTCTGGGGTGCTTTTCTTCACTTAATGAACATACAGTACCAACAGCTCAATGTGGACCTTGGAAGCAGAGATTTGCGCAGTAAAAAAAAAAAAACCCACTCCCACCACCTAACCTAAACTCATCTTATTGACGTGTTCTGAAAGGGGAAGCTGGTCTTGTGACCTGCTTTCATCTGCATTTGCAGGCTCTTCCTCCAGGCAGGAGCTTCTTCAGTTGTCATTGTTACAAGTGGACAGCAGATTCACTGTGTAAATATCTATCTGGCCGGTTACAGGTTGTTTCTCATGGTCTAGCAGATAAGAATCCAGGTTTTTCACCAATGATCACCAATGATATATGTGTGATTTGTAAACATTGATATGATTGATATTTATTGTATGTTACTGCAGCTAGCAGGCAGCTAGCAGTGTTGCATCACAACAAAATTTTCCTGTAGCTTGAAAACCATGTTTGTCCACTGGGTTTTCTCCAGGAGCTTGGATTTCTTCCTCCATCAAAAGAAAACAAAAAGTGTCTGAATGCTGTTTGCAAAAGAGATACTGAAATGTCATGAATTTGACTTCCTCGTTAAAAGAAAATTTAGCCAAGCTGAGGGCCTTGGAGGAATAACTAGCAAGAAGACCTTGAGAACTGTTGTTTGGGCCATTTTCATCTGACTTGCTTTTGCTTTCACAAAGTAGGAACCAGAGTGTCCTTTCTGGTTTCGAAAACTAACCTCACTTTCTAAAATCATATTCAAGGTCTTTGTTACTTGGAAACCCAAGAGGAACAAATAGAAAGTATATCTTGATAGGTTTTCCCAAACATTTTCCCATGTTTTCCCATTTTCCCTCACTAAAACAAATAGAATGTTTCTGATCTTAAAGATATCAAAATATCTTTGGACTCTCAACCAAATTTGTCACTTTTTATGGTTAAAAGAAGGTAAGGGGTCATTTCTAGACTAGTGTGAAGACCTCAAGCACCAAAGTGTGTGCGGTCCTTTTTGGACTTAAATAGCCTTTCAACCACATTTCATGGTTGACTGGAGCCGACAGTAGTCAAACTCAATGGGCCTCAATGGTTACTTTCTTTACTCTTTTTTCAAAAGGAGAAGTAAAAACTCTCCTTAGTCCTGTGCGAGAAAACTGTGAAAAGTCTTATCTGAAAGTCCAGCAGCCATTTGGGGTGTTTCATCTGGATACCTTGTCATGGCTGTAGGCTTCAGTTCATTCTGCTCTTGGAAAACTAGTTTGTGTATAACCCAACCCATTTAACTCAGGGTCCACTTACAGATGTTTTGGGGAGATTTTAACAATGTTTCTTGGTTTTCCTCATTCTCTCCTCACCAAAACAAGCCAAAGCTCAGACGTGAGGATTGTAGCATTTGAAATAGTAAAAAGAAAACTTAACTCATACTACGATTACTACGAGCCTTTCTTTCATCCCAGGATCTTTTTCAGAGACTGTAGCTCATTTTTCATGTTTGACAAGGCTGACAGCAGCAACCTCATGAAATTATCTAACTGGATGGTTGAATTCATAGTGAGGAAAGTCTCTTAGCAGAGGAAGGCGATAGACTGAACGCTCTAGGGGAAAGTTCACCATCCCAACGATAAATATTCTCTTTTGAGTCAGTGTCTTATGTCACTTCTGGTCTTGCAAACAGGCAAAAAATATTCATCATTCGTGTTCAATATTCATCAGCGAGTGGAGTGTTAAGTTGTCATGGTTGTGCAAAACTTTAGCGTCTAGGTCTATTCTTTGCTTTGATAAACCACTCCACATCTACATCTCATTCTCTACTGAGAGAAGACTGATGAAACTTCATCAGTTGAAATGAAATCGAACTAATATTGCTGCTTTTTTTTCTGTTGTTTGTTTGTTCACAGGTTCAAACTCCTCCAGAAGTGAGACGCTGACCCTTTCCAAGCTTTTTGTCTAGACTAGTCAAAGAGCTTTCCCCCACTACTTTCCACTGTACCCTGTTTCTGCTGCTAACTCTAACCAGACATCATGGGTACAGTGTTATCGCTGTCTCCTAGCTACCGCAAGGCAGCCTTGTTTGAGGATGGGCCGGCCACGGTGGGCCACTACACCGCCGTCCAGAACAGCAAGAATGCCAAGGATGCCGCTGCTGCAGCAGCAAAGTCCCTAAAACGTCCCTCAATCATCAGTGTGCTCCCATGGAAACGTATAGTGGCTGTATCAGCGAAGAGGAAGGGGTCCAAGAAATTACAGTCAGACAGCGGGGATGGGGGGAAAGGAAGCTCTCCGGATGGTCATGCAGCCGCCACCACCAACTCAGCCTCCAATAGCCTGAAGCTCAAGAAGTCTCAGTCCTGTGCTAACCTCTCATCCTATTCATCCAGCCAGGACCCAGCAGCCACCACTACCACTACCTCCTCCCACCTGCCCGCCTCCAAAACCTTGGCTAACGTAGCTACTGTCGTTGCCAAAAAGAATTCCCTCACAGGTTCTGGGATCCAGCCTTCCACTGCAGCTGGAACGCCAAAACGAGTCATTGTTCAGGTAACCTTCACTCTATAGCAAAAGGAAAACTAAAAACTCACGCATGCATAATTTGATCAAGTCTTCTCTCCTTCCCTCCTAAACACAGGCATCCACGAGTGAACTTATGCGCAGCCTGGGCGAGTTCCTGTGCCGTCGGTGTTACAGATTAAAGCGTCTATCCCCGACAGATCCAGTGCTTTGGCTGCGCAGTGTGGACCGCTCCCTCCTTCTTCAGGGCTGGCAGGATCAGGGCTTCATTACTCCAGCCAACGTGGTCTTCCTCTACATGCTGTGCCGCGACGTGGTCTCAGCTGAGGTGGCCTCGGAGCGCGAGCTGCAGGCCTCACTGCTTACCTGCCTCTACCTGTCCTACTCCTACATGGGCAACGAGATCTCCTACCCACTGAAGCCCTTCTTGGTGGAAGCAGAGAAAGAAGCCTTCTGGGACCGCTGCCTGGACATCATCAACCGCATGAGTGGCAAGATGCTCCAGATCAACACCGACCCACACTTCTTTACCCAGGTGTTTGCTGATCTGAAAAATGAGAGCAAGAAAGAGGAAGAGAAGACCAAGCTCCTCATAGGCCTTGACCGATAAGAGGGCGCCGGGAGTGGGGGGGTGGGGGTGGAAGGATAGACAGTGAATATGTTAAGGACAGGAAGACTAATGTAATCCAGTGTAATGTTACCTTTGAGCTGTAATGTTGTCTGGCGTCTCTACTGGTGGTGATTAACCAACTTTTCAAATGTAGAAGATAGAGCTCGTTGTATGAAACAGTGTTGATGATAAATTTACCCGAAGGCTGCAGTTAAACAACAAAGTAGATAAAATCAGGGTTGCTGAGGTGTTTCTCAAACCGCCAGTCATGTTGACTGGATCTGATTAGATTCCCAAGATTAACAGGCTACTTGTTGGCATTCAGCATCCAGTTCCCTGAGCTCAGGGTAACAAGTTTTAAAGCTGAGATACAATTGTTGAGATAAGATAAGAGGAGATAAGATAAAACTTTATTAATCCCTCGGGTGGGTTCCTCTGGGAAATTCGGTGATTCCCAGTAACAATATATCTGACAATGAAGAAAAGGAAAGTCATATTTCATCAAAAGCATGACTAGCAGAGATCATGATGTGACATTAACAGCATGATAGAGAGAGCAAGAGATCCATTGTACTTACCTTTTACCTTGGGTGTAAAGAAATTTGTCAGTCTGGCCTTTATGTTAAGAAATAAAGTCCTGACTAAGTTTTATTGTGAAAGTTAATAGAAACATAAATGGGTTTAGAGACGCCAGACAACACAGATTTAGTTACTGAGGCTGGATATATAAATATATATATATATACTGTATATGTATACAGTATATATTTAGCATTGAGGCATTTTTATCTATAGAGAATTGAACCATTGCATGAGGTCACTTCATATGTCCTTGCACATGACCACTTGCTTATTGCCAACTCCGCTTTACCTTATTCCTAAAGTCCTTCCCAAGCTTTATTGCACTCATCAAAAGTGGTTCTGCAAGGTCCATTCACATAACATAAAGAGTATTAACTTGCATAGCGTGGATGAGATCAAGTCAACCAGATTGTTTAATTGGCACTCCTATTTATTGTACTGAAGTGGATTCATGCATCCGCATATTATATAAAGTACTGTAGTTTTAAAGGAACATTTGGGTTTATCCAGTCAAATATTCTGGGAATTAGGAGACCATTTGTCTATTTTTAAGAGGATGACATGCTAAACCTTTTGGCACAGATGAATAATTATTAAACAAGCCCTTGTGTAAGCTGTTTACAAATACGTGGGAAAATGCAATACTGACCCCTCCAGGGCACATTTTACACAGGGAATGAGCTCATTTATTTCTCTTACCCTGCACTTTCTCCTGCAGTCCATATTGGTGCTGACGAAAGAAAGAAAGAAAGAAAGAAAGAAAGAAAGAAAGAAAGAAAGAAAGAAAGAAAGAAAGAATACTTTTAAACGACTACACTCGTGTTGGGTGCATCACACTGTGTGAATGACTGGTGGTGATGGGTCATGGAGGATATGTTCTTATAGCAGATCATGTGATCGCTTTTCTCGGCCAATGACTACACACATTAGTAATCAAAAGTAAATGTGAGTATGCTCCAGCTGTGGAAGTGCAGAGCCAGACACAACAATCGTAGATGTGACTTTTCTTCCACAACAACACTTTGATGTTGCCGTCACCACTTGGTACCAGAGACCTCGGCTGCTGTTTGAAGTCCCAACACCCACCCCTCTTTCTTCTGCTCATGGCCCTCCACAGCAACATGGACAAAATAAATCAACACAGATTCTCTCTCTCTCATTTCGATCGCTCCGGTCTGGTCTGAACCGGTCGTGTCCTGTCTGGTGCAGTTCAGTCCAGTTGTCCCATATTTAGAGACTCTCTGGTCCACTGACCTGATGGCTTACTTATTCACGGAGTTGTTTGACATGCATGTGTGCTTCTATAGGTTTCCTAGCATGCTGCTTTGTGTTGGGCACGCCATGCCTCATGTTACGAAAGAGACTGAGCAGTTGCTATGCTGAACTGCTGAAAGCTAGACTGAGCGATGTGACATCCAGGCACAAGGACGATCCAATGAGGACAATATGTGAAAGGTTAGAAGTGGACATGCCATTACTATAAATCCATCAGTCAAGGCAAGGTCAAACACTTGCCCTTAAAACAGGTTTTTGGTATTCATGTACACAGAGGACTAAAAGAGCCCACCGAGATTAGCCTCTATGTCTCTTTGGTCACTTATTTGGTATGTCCAAAGAGAAATCTGAGAACTAATGAACTGTAAAAGCAAAATGTTTTACATTTTGGATCAAACGTAAATGCGATCTTAGTAAGAATTGATTTAGAAGGTAATTTCATCTCGTTTCTGCAACTATACCTGTTGAGCATGTTGCTAAAATGCATTTCATCCCTAATCCTACCCCTATGTGGCTCTACAGCAACCTATTGTACATTAACCATCTGAGATCTAAGCCCCAAACCCTAAGTTTTGTAGACAAGAAAAACAGGGGTTTTTTTGACAAACGTCAACACATTTTGATGTGTCGGTTAGAACCAATATGTTCTTTGTCCCCTTATTGCTAGAAAAAATGAACAAATATTACATATTCTGATAGTATAGGGTGATTACCCTCAGAGGGTAAAGAGTACAATAGTTCTGACTTTTGGTAAGCAGCCATGTTTTCATGCTGAAAACTTATAAAAGGCAGAATAAAATCTCCAGACTTCCTGTCTAAAAATGCGTGATCAAACAATTTCCATAATGTGCTTAAATCTGGTGCTTTTTTCTTCCTAAATCACCTAAAGTCCACCTTTAAAGACCCCACATCTTCAGATTGTATGGGTCTTTCTTGTTAGAAGCTTCAAGCCCAAAACTGAATTTTATGAAGAAGCTCAAAGGAATTATGATTCGGTTTTGGAAAGCTCCTCCAGAATCACAAGAGAGATTATAGAAGAGTTTTCAGTCTGTGTCACCAATAAATTTATGGAAAACTTTGATGGTCCATTACAGGACCATTGTAAGGGTAGTCCTTCAAAACATTATGATGGATAAATGGATATACTGATCCTATACATGTCCCCCTGAGGTGAGAGTGTTATCCTTGATGATGTCATATCTCTAAGTCTAACAACGGCCAATAAGATGTTTTCAGTTTTTGAAAACCTGCAGGGCAGGGCGGAGGTCTTGTGCCATATCATTCTAAGACTCATTATTTCATACAAAAAGAAAAAGAAAACAAAAAAACATGAGCCAAGAAAGACTATAAAGTTGTCATGAGTAAGCTTTTCATAATGTTGCTGCATTGTACATCCGACATGTAGACCAGAAGAAAAAGACTTTCTTTACATGGTAAGGAATACATGCCAAAATGGAAAGCTTGTAAATTCAATATACAGAGAAGTTGTGTGTGTCACTTTGCAAAATGTATGCCAAAATTGGAGTCATCCAACACTGGAGCGTTCAACATTCAGTTTAATTTGTGTATAATAATATTTGGCCTTCCCTTGTAATATGAAAAAAACAAAACAAACACAGAAATGAAGACTTTACTTTTAAAAATGAGGAAATGGATTTTTAATCAAACAGAATGTCATGCCTCTTTCCAGACTCGTGTCTTCACAAAGCAGGAGATGTTTCATGTTCAGATGATTACCAACTGGGCTGCAGCGCTTTCATGCTCTGAAGAAAAACATGTAGCCTTGTTCCAGAGTCAGACCTCATGAGACAAATATGCACTCTATGAATCCATGGCAAACATGCTTGTTTACATGTCCTTCCTCCTAGCTGTTTCTGATGGGTTGAATAGTAGACAAGTAGCATATTCCTCAAAGGCATTCACAAGATGACTGTTGAATAATCCTGTTTGTAATTTGTTGTACTTGACGATCCAGAAGGATCTCTCTCTGCAGGCAAAAGGATAAAAGAAAGGTCAAATGGTTACAAATCATCAACTCCATAACAAGATGTATGTGAACTGTAATAAGTTTATGTTATACAAGAATTTGCAATTTTTATTCATGTCAGTACTTTCAGTATCTAACAGATTTAATAGAAGAATGACACAGTTTTCCAATTAAAGGGTAAAGGTTTGCTTAGCCCCACAACACAGGCCAGGCCTTTAGTTGTCTAATCTTACATTGATAAGGGCAGCAGGTGTGGTGGCAAATCTTAGATTGTAATTGATCCAAAAGTAAATAATTAATTCATTACTTAAAAGAATTCCATTAAACAAATTTCTCATTTCTAGCTAACAACGGTTACTGGCTTAAAGAACAACAGTCAAAGGCTAACTAACTTGATGGCTATTTGACATAAACATTAGCTAAAATATTCTCTAAATTATTTTTTATTAATCATAGCTGAGTCATGTCAAAATTACTTGTTGGAATGAATTCTGTCTGTAAAATGCAGAGGTGAACTGTGAATGCTAACAATAGCATTTGCCTTGTTTGTGTCACTATAATAAACCAGTAGCTGAAGCGAGCTATTGCTTTAGTGGCTAGTATTTTTTTTAAAGAAACCCTATCGCTGACACTTAATGGATAAAGTGTGCATATATGGTTGCTAATAAACAGCTAAATTGAAACAGGGAAAGCAAAACAACAGGTTTCCTAATGAGATGTAATTGTCCAACACCCATGGCTCTGTTAAATGGGGATTAGGTGTCACTGTGGTTGCCAGTGTTTGTTCGTCACTGGTAGTCTCTTACAAAACAACCTTTAACCAAAGTATGTTCAGCAAAACACACCAAAAGTAAGGGTGAAGTAGATGAACATTTATCAAGAGTTTTAAGAACAGACACACTCAAGCGGATACAAAAAGTTATTGATTTATTAGAGAGATATGAAAAGGCTTTTAATGAAGCAACTGGTTGCTACAAACAACTTCATGCTTGAAGACAAAGGCTACAGCTAACAAGCATAAAGTTAGCTTCTTCACCAAATAAAAACATTGGTCTTATCAACTTAGTCTGTTCAGTTCATACCTTATAGGGAATAATGTCAATAGGACTCTTATTTTTTCTTCCTTTTAATGCTAGGACAGTAAGATGTCTGTTAAATGTGACGTTATCTTGGGTGATGCTAGCTAGGGTTGCTACAGTAAATGTTATTGGATCTAATGGACAACACTGCTAACACTAGCTTAAACTCTGATAGGATCAACGTCACAGATAGTGTATATACAACTAAGTGGATGTGCTAGTGATAAAAGGGGCATTGCATTATTTAAAAAATTAGCTGCTTGGCCTTTTAGGTAACAACTGTTGGTTAAGCTAATGATTGTATCTTATGTTAGCGATGAGAAACACACCTTAACTCATTTGTCATGGAATGGCACCGATAAGGAACCACCTTAAACTCTGGAAATACGTCTTTCCACATTGTGAACAAACCCAAAGCTTGAAAGACCTTTTGTGCTGCGTTACAGTTGCTAAGCTGTGATTGAACAATCATTAAACAAGCCGTGATTTTTCACAAGCGGTCAGCGCTACTCGTTCTCTGATACACTGAATATTCTATTTTCTGTATTCAGTACCCTTGTAGTGTCAGATTTTGACACTGATGTTAGGAGTGATGATTCTTAATGTGTAAAATTACCAAAATATTTATGACCACTTTCCACCTGCTCCAGGCCTGTCAGCTGTGCAGGGACAACAAAGAAAGAGAAAACTGAAGGTAAAGGAAAGCCGTCCTCTAAATGAACCTTTTTCTTGCAATGGAGAATGAAAGTATGAGTTGATAACACCCCCTCCGATTCATGCTCTCATTGATTAACTCATAACCATGTGCCATATTTTATCTTGCGAGACATACAAGACAAAAAAACAACAAAAAACAAAAGAAAAAAACTATTGTGTGACATATGCTTCTAATGATGAAGTTGGTTTTCCTTCCTTTTCATTTGTGAATCATATTGTGTAAACAAGAATCTTTGGTGAACAAAGTCAAGGCTACTAGTGTTACTAGAGTGCTGATGCTGCAATCTGTTACTATGTGGATGTATGAATATGTATGTGAGAAATAAGAATACTTTGATCAACTGTTACAGGTACTTTATATAAAAACCTTTACAAGCATGGTGTTCTGTATTTTGTTCAGGTGTTATGACTGACATTGAGACAGTTCTTACTCGGACCACAGAAAGGCAGCAGAGAGTCTCTGAAGCTGCACATTTGAGGCAGCTGAAGAGGAGCTGGGAGGAAGAGCATCATAATAATTTTGAAAAAATGCAATTACTGCTCACTAGCTCCCTAACCTGACACTTGAGAGTCATTAAGAGCAGGTTTAATTTTTATTGGTGATAAAAATTTTAATACCAAATCCCTCAATTCATTGATTATTCTGCTCTATACATCTGACATAAAGAGAAACGTACTGATAATGCTAAACACTTAAATACTTGAACTTTAATCGTAGTTTCTGATGAGTTTATATTCAATTGAAAAACTGATCATACTAACCTCTGTAGTCTGATAAAAAGCGAGAAACAAAACAAAACAAAAAAACAACGGCTGCTAGGCTTCTGAGCATATAGTACATACAGTCCTTCTACAGACCTAGTTTTACACTAAACTGAAGGGACAAAAGACCCAAGGTATTACCAGAGACTTGTCTAAGAAAGAGACACAGCACAGCATCCTGATTTCAATCCTGATTTGACACCAGGGAGCGTTTGCAACTTTTATTAAAGAGGCTATGAAATTCACAGAAAGAGACCTTTAGGTCTGGTGAGTATAGCAAGTCTATAGATTATTTACAAGAGCCTAAATGGAAATATAGTTTGTTTCTTTAAGGTGGTGATGGTGGGGTAGCAGGCAGGCCAAGATAATCAACAAGAAGTGAGAAGAAGGGCAGTGGAGAATGGTCAGGTAGGCGAGATGCAGATAGGTGCTGGTTGTGAGTGCAGGTGAACTGTTATTCGTGAGAGTTTATTTTTCCTCTGTGCTTACAGGAACCAGAGAGGATAACCATCCAACCATCTTTGAAGAAGAACATTTCACACCACCAGGATGGAGGCCCAAACTGGTCCTTAGATCCTGCATGGTGAGAAAATGACTAAGAAACAGACGAAAAGAGAAGAACGAGGCAGACTTACAGAACAGACCTCATATGACACAATATGACTGTACATAAGTCAGCTGATGTAACCTCTGACCTGCTTCCTTTGAATGCTTGGAAAACAAAGGAGCCCAATCAGTTGCTTTTCCCAGTGTAGTTGCCCCACTCTGGCAGGAATAACTTTGTGATTCCATTTTTTTAACAATAAATCACCATAACTAACTAAAGTGTGGAGTTGTCTGAATCTGAATCAAACACTAGTGAATATAGACGAGTCTAATTCTGTACATTTAAACTGAACTTAACTGAACTCTGTCAGCTAACCTTCCACCTCAACAGCTGAAGAAGTTACGCATGTTTGATCAAAGTTAGAGTCAAACTCAAAATTTTGGAAACTTAAAGATTGAAATGAAGTAATTAAAGTGCAGTAACAATCTTCTACTTCTTCCCTTAAAGCAAACCTTGCCAAAGTGTGGGGGCCGCCCCCTAGGTGGGGCGCAGAGCCATTGCAGGGGGGGGGCGCGGTATGAAAAGGGAAGAAAAAACCCCCAAAACAAACAAATGCTTGGACATGCTTGGGGCGCCCACACAAACGCAAAGCAGGAGATGAAGCATCGCTGAATATGTTTCCAAACCAACTTCATTCTAAACCAAAGACTAGAAAATATGGTGAAGCAAATCTGCCCTTTGGTTTCACCTGCACAGGTGCTGAGGTAGGTCTCCCTGCAGAATTGGTTTTCCCTGTGTTGGGAGCAGCACAGAATCTCACATTCTTGATTTTTAGTTCACAAACACTTGTTGTAATGACTAACTACTCCTGACATTTTGGAGGTGTTAGCTCTTTATACAGTAAAGTTACAGTGGGATACAAATAATATCAGGCTGATCCTGCCACGATTTGTTCCCCGGTTCAAATACCGGACAAACAGGATCCCACAGCTGTTTATGTTTTTAAACCCATTTTGCACAGAGAGGCATTTTTTTGAAAAATGTATTGATAGCAATGTTGAATATTATTACACAGGAAAAAACAACTACACGTAAAATAATCACACTGTGACACCTCTGCCTTTGTAAATGGAGGGACAGTAACTGCGTGTAAAACCTGCAGACAGTCAGATTAACAGTATTTTGTCTCTATCTGCCATTCTGCAATTCATCTCATGTAAACAATAACGTGGCCACAGCATGACGTGAAAAAGGCACATACCTTTGACATTGTGTTACGAACTCTGTATTCCTCGTCCACACGTAAACGCAAAAATCAGTTTTAAAAAATCTGCGTTTTTGGTGATTCGAAATGCCGTATACCTGTGGACAAAACAGCTGCGTTTTCAAAAAATACCCGTGTAGGTGCGGACGCAGCGTAAAAGAGTTAGTAGTTTATTTTATTACTGCCTGTGATTTATTGCAAATTACTTGTATTTGCCTAATTGTTTACTAAATGTTTGAGGTGTTAAATAAACAGCAATGGAGCAAAATATGAGTGTGTGTGTGTGTGTGTGTGTGTGGGGGGGGGGGGGGGGTCGAACATTTTTCTTGTAAAGCAAAGGGGGGCTTAGCAAAAAAAGTTTGGGAACCACTGCCTTAAAGGGTTTAATTGTTTTAATGAGAGATCACCTTGAATATGATTGCATCAACGTGTCTCTAAAAGCTGGGAAGGGTGATGTTTACCACTGTGCAGCATCACTTCTTCTTTCAACAACAGCACATCCACTTCTGGGAACTGAGGAGAGAAGCTGCTGGAGAGGAATGTTGTGCCGTTCTTGTCTGATGGAGGATTCTGGCTGCTCAGCAGTCCTGGCTCTGTTTTCTGTTTTATGACACTTCAAATATTTTGAGTTGGTGAAAAGTCTGCATTGCAGGCAGGCTGTTCCATGCTGCTATAATAGATGCAGTGTTTGGTTTAGCATTGTCTTACTGACATATTCAAGGCCTTCCCTTAAAGAGGCGTCACTGGATGGGAGCAGATGTTGCTATGAAATCTGTATATAGACCTTTGAGCATCAATGGTCCCTTCCCAGGTGGTTTCTTTGCTTTCTGTCATAAAGATTTTGGGTTTTTGAGATCTGCAAATCATTATATTCTGTTTTTATTTACATTTTACACAACTTCCCAACTTTTGATAAAATAGAACAGAATAGAATAGAAGTATGCTTTTAAGTTTTAAGTTTCAATGTGCTTTTGCTAGTTAGCTAAGAGATCTTGCAGGAATAATATTAGAGTAAAAATAATCATTTAAAAACACCCCTACATTAATGTCCAGTTTATGTTAGAGTGTTATCTGTTGTGTCAATATGATTCTTTAATGTAAACACAGAAGTTAGCCGATCATCGTTGCCTGAGACTTTCTTCAGCTTCCTGCTTCTTCCTGCTCTAACTTTGTACGCTTTAGCAAGTCTCAGCTGCTGTCAGGACCTTTAAGCGATCAAACAAACATACAGCCTGGACGGAGCGCTGCTGTCCGTGGTGCTGAATTAGTTCAGCCGTGGGGTGGTGCAGTTCAGCAGCGTTTGGGGCAGAGCGCTGTCCGTGGTGCTGACATGCAGAAATCTGAGGCTCTGGTTTCATTTACCAAAAAATAAAAAGCCGATGAATGGAGGCGGGATGACACTTACTGCACTGAAAGTCACTTTAGAATTTAGAGAGTTCACATTATTGTTATTAGAAAAAGGGAAAAGAAACTGTCTAATATATGTGCGCGTGCCAAATATGCAAACGCTATCCACCGGGATGCCACCCTTAACAATGTAGACCCACTTTTGCTCAAAGAGCCAGACGAGTAGGGTGACGTCTCCCTCCGCTTCCGCTCGAATCAGCCAATCAGAGCCGAGTGCGCCGCAGCTTATAAGCCCATCTGCTGTCGATCCTTTCGCCCTGACCGTCCCTGCTGTCCTGTGTGCCGCTGACTCAAACTGCAGCCCCTGATCTACCGCAACCGTGAAGATGGCGACCCGGGTAAGCTCCGTGCGCTGCGTTTATTCCTGTAACAAATCGCTCTCAGTCCGGCTCGTGGCTGGTAATGAAAGAAGCGCACCCGCAGAGCAAAATGTCGGACGAGCCGTATGTGCGGACTGTCAGGGGTCTCGGTACACGGAGCACCTGAATGTCACCGCGACTGCGGACTCTGGTGTTTATTTCACACCGTGTGATAACGCGTAGCTTGTGCAGCAATTTGCTACAGGACGGTGTGTTCGCCACCAGCCCCCCCACCCCCCCACCCCGTTACAGCTGCTTCGGTGCTTAATCCTGGGCTCTGCTTGTCCTTGACGCGACTGCGTGAAAAGCGACCACTGAGAAGCTTCGTGGATGCGTGGAAGGGTGCACGGTGTTGTGTGGGACGCGCAGAGTGGTGCTTTGGTGACAAGGGTGAAAACAGCCTTACGTGCTCCAGTGTGTGTGTGTGTGTGTGTGTGTGTGTGTGTGTGTGTGTGTGTGTGTGTTTGGCGTTAGGGAGCGCTGGATGCGGTGTGAAGCAGCAGAGCAGCACGGCTGACTGGTGGGCTGTAACCTACCTACATATGCACATGTAGGTTGCGTGCAACCTGTCGAAAAGGAGGGAGGATGATGTCAGGTAACCGGCCTCAGCTTCCCCTAGTGGCCCGGTGTCATTCTCACACAGCCCCAGTTATACAGGTCACACCTGGCAATAACACCAGGACTGGTACTGCAGGAGGAATTATTGGGTTAAACCCTGATACCCCCAAACTGCTGCCTTTATTATGCAACGCAGTAAATAGCAACCTGGTCACTAGGGTGGCATATACTGAGAAAAGCTAGCACCAACACCTCTGTGTCTGTGTTGTAATTTATTAGCCCTTTGTCCTCAGCCAACAGAGAAATCTTTGTAAACAAACAATACTGTTTGCAGGGCTTCTGAACTTTTAGCCAACACAAAAGATAAATATCGACAGTTGACAGATGTTCTCGTTTTTGCGGATGTATATATATCATTATTCCAGGCCTCTTTTACCTCCATGACTCCATGTATGACTTTGGAGAAACATATTGACACCTA